TACTTGTTCCTTTATCAAAGATTAATAAATGCAAAAATGAGAAATGGTGAATCACTACTTAAACATTTGAATTATGTCATGGGTGCTTATAATGCAATGAAATGTATGGAAGGTGCACCAGGGGAAAAAGCTGTTGCTATGATTCTTGGTTCTTTGACCAGAGAATATTTGCATGAAGTGGCTGTTTTAAAGGGAACAAAAGACTTAAAACTGGAATATGGGTTAGCATATCTATAAGATGAAGGACATAGACGTGAAATGTCCCAGACTGCAGATGACTTGTCTGTACTATGCATAAAGCCTGATTATTAAAGGGAGAATGCCAAAAGAATTTTAAATGCCACAACTGTGGGAAATTTGGCCATATGGCAAGGCATTGTTGATCAAAGGCCATTTACCAGAACAAAGAGATCGTGCCAAATCTTACCACTCTGAAACCAGACCCCCTAAGGGGCATGGCCTAGGAAAGGCAAGTGGTCACTTTGAGAAACGAGGTGTGTTTGTTATCAGAGACAAACAGGAAAGAACTGATGTTCTGAAGCAGAACAGTAACATGAAAGCTTTGTCTGTCACTAAGAGGAATGATGAGCAAAATGACTCTTTTTTACTAGATAGTGGTAGCGCGTATCATATAGTGAACTCAGACAAATGGTTTACTGATTTGGACAGAGAAAAGAAGCCTGCTCTACAAGGGGCAAAAGGCAAAAATCTCTCTGTAGAGGGGTGCAGTTCAATTAAACTGTATGCTTTGAACGATTGCAATGAGATTGTGGAAATCACTCTCAGAGAATGTGTTCTGATTTCCAAAACAATAAATAATCTCATATCCACAAAGAGAATCATGCAAAATGGCCTTAATATTGATCTCAGACCAAGCCATGGAAAATTTGGCATGAAAATTGATTTAATGTGATGCTTGAAGAAAAGGATGGTTTTCATTACCTGAGAAATATTGCTGATACTGATTTAGATGAAATGGAAAATGATGGGCTGGTATGCCAAACCAGATCAACTGAATGCAACCATAAAGACTGTTTATTTGCGTGGCATGTAAAATTTGCACATAGAAATGTGAAAAGTGTGGAAACGTTATTGAAGGAATGCAATATTGAAGCAGAAGTATGTGATGTCATGAAAAATGGCTGTGATATTTGCCTACAGTCTAAAGCCACAGCTCCCTCTTATAAAAATAGAGCTCATAACCCCAATACTAAGTTTCTAGAGTGCGTGTACTCTGATTTGGTTGGTCCAATAAAAGAATCTGCTGGTGGCAACAAGTATTTTGTCAGTTTTCTGGAAGTAAAATCTAGATATGTCTATACCTACCTGCTTAAAAGCAAAGATGAGGTGCTTGACAAGTTTAAATGCTACGTTGCTGCTGTTAAAAACAAATTTGGCAAAGCGCCAGACATGCTGTTCACAGATAATGGCACAGAATACTGCAGCAGTGAGTTCCAAAGATTCATGGAACAAGAAGGAATTGAACATAAGACTACAATTCCTTATTCTCCTCAACAAAATGGAACGGCAGAATGCTTAAACAGAACCATTCAAGAAATGGCGCGTTCTATGCTAATGCAATCTGGACTTTCAGAGTCTTACTGGG